TATATATATATATATAACTTAGTTTTAATTAATATTTAAATTAGTTTTTCTTTTTTGTTTGAATTTTAGTTAAAGTTTTAGTAATGTTGTGTGTTTCTGTCCATTTTTATTTTTTATTCATTTTTAATGTAATTTTTTTTAAGTGCAATAAGTTAAATATATGACAAATGTTGCCTTGGTAACTTGCTGAAAAAAAATAAAAAGTGAATTAAAAGTTAAAATATTTTATTTAAATTAATGTTTATTTTTTATTTTATATATTATATATATTTATATTTTATTTTTATTTGTTGCTTTTTCGCAATTTTGTTTTTGTTTTAGTTAACTATAATAACTCTATATAATAACTCTCTTTTAGTTAACTATAATGATTAACTCTAAATTGATGCTTTGTTCCTCTTCCCATGGTAGATCACAAGGCCATCAAATCTGTGGAGATTGGGGCAGACCTGATCCTGGATCTGTACACGCATCAAGCTGAGCAAGTGATTTTTCAAAACGGTAATGAAACCGACTGGACAGTCCTGTGGGAGAAAGATGGAGTCATAAACAAGAAAGGTTATCTGAAAAAGAGAGACAACAAGTTGATTATCAGGAGGGTTACGGCCAGCAGCGCCGGAACATACACAGTTCTTGACTCAGAGGGTTTGGCTCTCAGCACAGTGAAGGTCAAAGTTACAGGTAGGTAACCTTTGTTGAGTATATTCTTTACACGTTATGTACATTTAGCGGTCACACATGGTTCCTTCGCAGTCAAAAGCCTTGAAATGTTAAAAGGCTAAAAATTCTCTAGTTTTTTTTAGACATAAATACTTTTTGCTAATTTTTATTAAGTTGTGGATTTGGATATATATTTAGACATTCTCAAAGACTACTTTATATCAAGTTTTTTTTTTTTTGCTTGAATGTTATTTTGAAGTGTCAGGTTTTTCATTAATTTTACTACAGTCAAACCTGAACACAGAGAAGGACATTTTGTTACACATAACATCAGAATTAAATAATGTCAAATATATAACAAAAATAATAGGAATGCTTTATCGGAGCTTGATCAGTGTAGCGAATCAGCTCATGGGAAATATGAATAATTAATCATAACTAGTTATAATTAATTATAAATATTTAGATCCGCTGTAGATATTTACTTGACCTATCAGGGTCAACTGTCTGTCAATTCTAAGAACGTTAATTTCCTGGTTAAGGGAAATAACTTTCTTACTGTACAACTCTACACAGAGCCTGTAGCATAAATCTGCATGATCAAGGGACTCCAGTTATGAGCAAACAATGAACAACGTCAAGTGTGATACAAGTAAGGCTTTATTAACTACATAAACACTTAAACTAGTCTAACATACTACATAAACACTTAAACTGGTCTAACATGCACATATACACACACGCGCACACACACACACGCATACAGTTGGTATAGGAAAGGGTTAAAGCTTAAGCAGTAACGAGGAGAGAAATAAGGAATGAAGTTATGGAACCATTTGCATATTCAGCAGATTTACAGCCTGAAGGGAACATCAGATTCTTAGTTCAAACACACCTTTGTAAAAAGGTGCAAATGATACCTAATGTATCAATTAATAAGACTAAGTTTGATACTTGCACGTCTCGTCTGTCTGAAAGAGAGGTTTGATGCAATCTGAAGGTTCAAGTTGATCTTTACTGAAGTTGGTTGATGAAAAAGAACCAGTTTGAGTCAGAGAATCTTGGTGAATGGAAAAGTCAAGGCTGAAGCCTGGCACGAACTTAGGGTGTCCTGGAGCGTTGTTGCTCACATCTTCTCATGACCTAACAGAACCACCGACTCTGGGGCGGGTCACTGATGTGAGGCCTTTAAGGTCTGAGAAGATTCTCGCCTCTCAATACTGGGGAGTTTTATGACCCTTTGTGTGAAAGCATGGTAATTTGCATATGGAACTTGAATCGAAATTACTAATATATTGCCTATGTACCAACATATAATATACACGCTCATTTAGATCATCAGAAGGCGAATTCATAGATACTAAACATGGTAGGATTACATATAGGTAAGATGACAGGAACGAGTGGTTACATCATAAGCCTGCTTGATGTTTTAGAGTGTAACCCCTTCCTTGTTGCTTTTTTTTACTGCATTGTGACCAGAATATTCTCTTGAGTTTTTGTATTTTTTTCATATTTCCCATTCATTTCCTATGTCAGTCATTTGTCTTTTTCAAGTCAAGTGTGACTTTTTTTTGACCCTTCAACATATCCAAATAATGTCCATGATTTCTGTGTTCACATAGCACAGGACAGTGTCACCCCATTCCGATGAAGCTAAAAAATTCAAAATGTAAAATGTTTTGGTCATTTCTGACCGAAATTGTTAATCTCAGTCTTTTTCTCAATTGTAGAACCTGTGCTCACAAAAGAAACAGAAACTCTGCAAATGCAGTCTGCATCAGGTAAGCTGTACACAAATAATGTAAACTTTACTTGACAAGCTAATGAAAACGTATTTAAACATACCTTGACTGTGAAGGAAGAAATTACTGTTTCCTACAGTTTTCATCTTTATTGTTTTTTCCCCCCACTTTTTTTTTTTTTGCTTTAGGTAAAGCTACAATGAGTATGCCTCTAAGCATCATTACTCTTTTCCTCACATTTAATCTAATGCTTCAAATGATTTAAGATCGTTCTGATTTAAACTGTATTTTTAATTTAACCTTTAACTGAACTATTTTTGCCTATATTATGGGACAAGTTAGGTGTAAAGCAATTGTGAAAAGCAAGATGTTTCATATACTGAATTTCATAAGTCTGGTGTTCTCTGACTTGGCATCTATGAAAGCTCACTAATGTGTGAATACCTGAAACCTGTATGTGGATACTTTTGTAGTGGTTATTTTACTGTACATTGAATTATCTGAACATTTCAACTATTCTGATAAAGACTGATCAAAAATGAAATATTAAAAAAGAATATTATAAGTGAATTGTTTTATTAGAAATGTGCAAACAATAAAAAGACAGCATTGTGTAAAAAGGCACTATTTATACCTAAAATGATTAGGCATGTGCAGGTTTAAAATTTAAGACACTTAAGAAATATGATTTAGTAAAACGCTGTATATTATTTATTATGATTGTTATCACAGTAAATATCACTGCTTTCAAAGTAGAGAAGGTTTTTACTGGCAGGAATGTGATTGTACGTATATTTGTAAAATAGAAACAAATGGTTAATATTCTGAAATTTCATCGGTCTTCATTCAGTGATTCGAAGGGTCCCTGGTTTGTCACATTCGGGGCCGTTTGCAGTCCCGTGTTCCACACGTAGGTAAAATGGACCTACCAGCCAATTAAGAGGTGTATTGTTGACCAGGTAGTCCATGACGTTATCCATGGAATCTCTTATTCTGCTCAGCTGGGATCGACTGCTGGCGAGGACGCTGTTGGACGAATCTCCTAGGGCGGCAGCCTTACTGAAGCTGCTATAGATCTGGACCCGGACCTGGATGTGCTGAGGGAGACCTTTGAGGCTGGACACCAAGACCAGACATGTGCTCTGGAGTTGCTGGCTGAGGTTGTGGGCAATGGTCAATGTGCGTGATTCAATTTGCTGATTGAAAAAAACATTAGCAAAAGATAAAATGAGAAATACTCAACCATGCAACAGAACTTCAAGTCTCTAAAAACAAGAAATTCAGCCTGTATCTCTGAGATAGTTTTCAGTAGGGCTGCATGATATAGTGAAATTCTTAAATCGTCAAAACTAAATAAATTTGCCCACAAAATAAAAATAAATAAATAAATAATTAAGATGCAAATATTATTATTGTAATTTTACTGTAAAAATTATATTTTTCAAATATTTTACAGAACAATGTTATTAAAATAATTTTAATACGTTCTTATTTTGTTTAATAATTACTGTTAATTATTGTTTTTAATAACAATAATTATTGTTTTAATAATAATCACAATAAAATCTAAAATATGAAGAAAACAAATATTGAATTGGCCAAAAACAGTGGGAACGTAGCCTATGAAATCCTTTTTTTTTTTTTTACTAACTATTTTTGGTGCATGTTAACTTTACTTAAATCAGTTTTCACTCATTAATTTAGTAAATTTCACAAATAATTATAAAGAAACGGCAAGTAGAATGACTGAAATAGTATTTTCTTGTAAAATTTACTCTAATAATCTTTGTTTTATTTATAAAGTTTCCTAAATCGTTAAGCCCTAAAAGGATTTTGCCATTTATAAAGTTGTAAAAAGCTATTTTTCAGCATTTTTTTAAAAATTATTTTTATTTTGCACTCCACAACAAATTCACTCCTCTAAAGTAAATAGGTATTCACATCATTCTGGTGAAAATTTGTGTATTTTTTTACATCACAATATATATCAAAAAATAAAATATTGCAAAGTCATAGTTTTCCCCCACTATTGTGCAGCCCTAATTTCCAGTCACGTGATATCTTGGATACCTCAGCCTCATTGTCTGTGACCGTCTCATTCTCTTCTTGACTCTTCCAGCCCATCAGCGAACTCAGTTTCTCATGTAGCTTCTGGTTAGACACATCAAAATTATTGCGGGTATAATCAATCTAATAGCAAAAGCATAATAAAAAAACATTACATTAGAAGACAGTATTTTGACAGTTATTATAGATCTCTGAATTCATCTCGGATGAACTTACTAGATCCATGGTGTGGTTCAGCTGAGATATGGACTCTTGGCTGTGTTGAATGGCATAACTAACTTTATCTACAGCCCTCTGGAAAGCCCTGTCCCGGACTTTGTTGGACAGAGACCTAAGCCGCACGTAGTAACTGGGTGCATCACTGTAATTTTCCAATCCTCTGGAGTTCTTCACTTCACTTTCTGAGAGAGATTACGGTCAAGGACAAGCAGAGAAACAGTACAAAGAAGCAACTGTTAGATTTGAGAATTTTGAGAAGTGAGATTAGTGAGGTGTTTAATTTCAGATTGCTATTCAACAATATCTTTGAGATGTGCTTAAATCTGATGTTCCACACATGAATGGGATTAATATTTATTTTCCAGGAAACTGTAATAATTCCCAGTACTATTTGATGCTCATAATGGACCATACAGTATGGATATTCCTTCAGTGTAACTTAAAAAGCCATACCTCACAAGAAGAATATCACAAGATATGCAGTTATCAACAGGCTTTTATAGTTTAGTAACACCCATGCCATTCCATACAATATTTGAATAATGTCTTCTTGTCCATACAATCAAAGTCAGTGACCAAGAACATTAAAAAATATATATATATTCCTTTGTGTTCCACAGAAGAAAGTAAGTCATACAAGTCTGAGTAGTGAGCAAATAATATTTTTTGGGTGAACTTGACTATCCTTTTAAGGACTATGATTGTAAATTGGGCCTTTTATCACAGTATGATCTGACATTGATTTTCTTAGCCAGCAATACCTCAAAACATGATTTCATTAAGATTTGATTAGATTCAGGAGCCTGTGATCCATATTATAATATGGATCCATCAATATTACAATATTATGTGCCTATTTTGCACAACCAGTTAAATTTTTATTAACTCACGAATGCAACCAAAATATAACTTTATTCACGTGCACTTTCACTTTAATTGAACTTTCTGAAAATTCCAAAATATATAGCAATTTTATATGCATTTTATACATATTTTTTCGCCTTTGAGGAGCTGTTTCACTAGGATATTTGTCACAATAGGGAAGAAAAGACTATTTCATGCTGAATTTAAGCTGAGCAACTTTAAAGGGTTAGTTCACCCCAAAATGAAAATTCTGTCATTAATTACTCACCCTCATGTCGTTTCAAACCCGTAAGACCTTCGTTACGCAGCATACGCTGTTTACGTCCAGCTGATACTCACCAAAATGGCGCTTACAGGGTGATGTGGAGGAGACGAATTGTTGAATAAAGTCGTTTTTTTTTTTTTTGCACACAAAAAGTATTCTCGTAGCTTTGTAAAATTACGGTTGAACCCCTGATGTCACATGGATTATTTTACCGATCTCCTTGCTACGTTTCTGGACTTGGGAACATTTCAGTTGCGTTGCTGTCTATGGAGGGTCAGCCCGCTCTCAGATTCCATCAAAAATATCTTCATTTGTGTTCCGAAGATGAACGAAGGTCTTACGGGTTTGAAACGACATGAGGGTGAGTAATTAATGACAGAATTTTCATTTTTGGGTCAACTATCTCTTTAAGATGCAGTCTAAATATCAGCAAAATATCCCAGTGCCAGTAAACATGGTCCATCCCTTATCCTCACCTCTATCCTCGTCTGTTTCAGGTAAGTACTGCTCCAGGAGAGTCTCAGATGTGCTCAGTGCTGTGTCCACGCTGCTGCTCATCAGTTTGACCACCCTGCTCTCCATCACTGTTTGGACTCCACCACTCACCACCGTCGTGGTCTTTTCCATGCCGTCCTGCACTGCTCCTCGTGTTCTGTCCGTCACTTCACTGAGAGTGAAGGAGACAGACTCCTTGGCACCGTTCATAGTACCGCTGACGGCTTCCTTGGCTCCTGTCACTGCCTCTTTGGCACTGGCGATGATCTTAAAGAGAAGAACACCATTAAAGCAGTGCTTGGAGAGTGGTGACCATTGAAGCTTAAAGGCACCATGACATCAAAACTGTCTATAGAGTGCTGCAGTGGGTTCCCTTTGAGATTTTCCTATAGGTTTTTATAATGGGGATTTTCAATTCATGAGTAAAACAAGGTCTGTGGTAAATATAAATTGACGATACTTGGGCGTTTTGCTCTACAACATAAATTATTCACATACATACTGAAATTGCTGATTTTGAAGTAATCATGTTTATTTTTTTTAAAGTATGTTTATAATAAGTAACTACATAAGAATGTTTGAGGTGTGAGTGTGTAGAGTATATATTGCAGAACAAAAAGTCCAATTATCGTTATATCTACTAACTCATGTATTGAAAAAAAACATTATAAAAACCTCATAGGAAAATATTGAGGGAACCCATAGTGAATTAGTCTTCCAGGTTTTGACTTCACGACTGCAGCACAAACGACAACGATCCTATGATCCACTCAAGTCCAAAATGGACAAATTCAAGTTCCACCCTAGAATTGTTCCTGTTCGAGAAGCTGTTTTCTCCAGATATATACATTACAATAGGTAACAGAAGATGATTGCAACTTCCATTTAAATAAAGATATGAGATCCACTGTGGTTTACTAATGTTTCGGGAAGTTACAAACCAAAATGCTATAAAGAATATTTAAGCTATAAAAATGGAGCACCTCTAATATTTCAGCAAATGTATAAGTGCTTGTTAAGAGTTGTTCATGTTCCTTATATTCACTGTAAAGCATCTAAACTTTTAAATGAACTTTAACAAATTTTGTGTTGGTAAAGCAAGTGGTTATGAAGTAATATGATGATAACTTTGCAGCGCCCCCTGTCGGCTCGGTACCATTAAAGTCAACATGAAATCAAAATTCCTTCCCACCTAATGCTGTTGTGACATTCTCCTGATCAATATCACACTATGTTCGTTCATCCAGAAGAAACTGTTCCCCTGATTGAGCCTGTTTCTCACAAGGTTTTTTTTTTCATCCATTTCTGTCACCTGATAGAGTTTGGGTTCTTTTCCTATTGGCTTGCTTATTTGGGGTCAAAAAGACACTTACTATTCAGTAATATCATGGATTTGACAGAACTGACACTATCGGATGAGCACAAAACTTGAAATGCATTGAGCTGAATAATGACACTGTTGTCTTCTGTAGAGCTGCTTTTATAGCTGAATTGAATTTGTTCATTATTCATGTATATATTGCTGTTTTTAGACTAAATCAAAATTAAACTGACTCAAGCTGAATAACAACACTACTGTCTTCAGTATTCAATATTGCCATGTTTATTATAAATGCTAATTATAAATGATTGATCACATCATTATTTTTCTAATTATTTTAATATTATTTTATTTTTCTTTAATCAAATAAACTTCCCCACCCTCTTGTAATGACACCACTTCTCTGATGACATGTGCTCTGTCATTCACACGAAAGCAATAAATAGCCTAGCAAATGACAATGATCCAATCAATTCCCAATGGTCAAAACCAGGTCCCGCCCTACATCTGTTCTTGTTTGGGAAACCATTTCATTTGGATATATGTCACAAGAAGGGCAGAAAATATGATTGCAACTTACATTCATATGCCGACTTTAACATTTAGACAATATAAAAGTGGAGTTTAAGCAATACCTGATCAGATGGCTTGTGTAGGATCGGCAGAGTCTTCTCTATCTTATCCAGTCCTTTGCATGCCACGTCATTTGCCATAGAGACTACAGAGAGACACAGTAACTTTTGGTAAACACTTATTCTCACTGTAATCAGCCCTGATTTCAAACTGCAAACAACAGTCGGCTTACTCTGAGGCTCTAGCTTGCCGATGATTAGTAAAGCACTGTGAAAAGCAGCTGAGGTTATGGATTTCACACCATTCTCAGCCACCTCACACACGGACTTCAAGTATAGATGGGTGTTCTTGGTGTTGCAGTACACATTTGACACCAAGTCATAGGTGGAAATAACCAAGGGAAGGGAAACTATCCGTTCAACCACATTCTAGAAAGGAACAGACAGGAATGAACAGATTAATTGACATTCTAACCAACAAACATATGTATTTAGAAATAGTTTCATAGTATTAATAAATAATATTACATTTTAAATGAGCTAAATTGTAGCTATAAATGAGGATTAAAATGGCAGACCTGGTTATTCACAACGTCCACAGAAGCCATGTCACTATAATTATCACAAGTCTGCAAAAGATCATTCAAACTGTCATGGCAAATAGAGATTACTTTCTTTCTTACACTTGTTAATAAAGATGTGTAATCCAGTAAATAACATCTCAGAAAAAAAGAGAGGTTTAAATATCAGCATAAGAATAAAGAAAAAATAGCTACCTGCGGTGCAGTCTGAGGTTGCAAACAAATTCCACTAATGGACTCTTCAGTTGCTCTATTGAGGATTGAGCGCAGGTTCCGGATTTTATAGCAGTCACCACGGCTGATGTAGTCCAAAGGTCGGGGATTTCACTGTGTGGCGGTGTTTACAAAGATCATTCAACGGTTAGGCACAATTTTCTGGTACTTCTGTAAAGTTGAAAGCATTCACAGTTTGTGTAGCCGCCTCACGCCTGAGACTTGTGACTTGTGCAGATTTGAAGAATTACTGAAAACAAACATCTGACATAAGCCTATTGCAACAACTTCACGTTTTACTTAATAACTGAGTAATGTAGATGAAAGTTCACACATAGAGTCAGTTCAGGTGAAGTAGGGCAAACAAGTATATAGGCCTATGACCGTTTGCCCTATCAGGAGTTCATCGTCACAAAGGATTTTGTTATTATGAAATGTTGTCATCTGACATCATCATTACAAGTAACGTGAGTTACGTAATCAGATTACTTTTTTCAAGTAACTAGTAAAGTAACGCATTACTTTTTAATTTACAAGAAAATATCTGAGTTACTTTTTCAAATAAGTAACAGATTTAGTTTTCCTCAAAATTAATAAAAACAGTTAAAAGCAACTCAGAATATGACGCAAAGCTGCAATAATTAAATATGTTAAATAATACAAATATCCTTTATGTATTTAATCCCATTTTATTAACCAATTTGCTGCTGGCCTTCGATGATCCAATTCAACCGTACTAATAAGCACACATTACTCAAGATAAACTAACATTTCTTCTTCTTTTTTATTGCTGAGGAGTGTTGAACTTTCTTCTTCTGCGTTCTACTGTACAGACGTGAATTTACATTCCCTTCAGCCTGAGGCTTTTGGTGTGAAAGGGCTTTTATATTTGCCAAAAATAGAACTTTTTATATTAAAAGCAAACAAGCAAGCCCTGCCCAGATTTCAAAAGTAACGTGACGTATTACTTTAAATAAAAAGTAATTAAGTAACGTAATTAGTTACTTTTTTAGGAAGTAATGCAATATTGTAATGCATTACTTTTAAAAGTGACTTTCCCCGACACTGATCATCACATGGACTTACCGATTCACTCAACTCACGATGCTATGATTCCCAATACTGATTTCCTGATACGAGTTTTTAATTTAATTTTTTAACAAAATAAGATTTAAGACAAATTATAAATGAAAAGATGTCTTTTTATTATTGTTTGGACAAAATACTAAATTCTTACTTCATATAAACAAACGAAGGTTTTGTCTGTGCTCTTTCCATTCAGTTAGAGGCAACCACTGTATTTGAATCGAGATCCAAAGATGCGGCAGGCCTACATGCAGCACAAATTAGAATTCGAAATTTGAAGCAAAAACAATGGTCTGACTTTAACTTTGTGAAATTATACTAAATAAAACATCTGAAGGAGACAAAACCAGCTGACTGAATGAGAGCAGATTCACTCTCTGACAGCAGGTGGCGCTCATGGAACAGCAGCGATACAGCGTTTCCTTGGTTACCGCTGTCAACAAAGCAGCTCTGAACAGCTCCTTGTGCTTCATAAACGAACCGTTCAAAAAGGATTTTTGGATCGATTCATTGAAAAGAACCGACTCAAAAGGATGATTCGCACAAAGGAACACTACTGAGCTGAACGCGGTTCAGTAATGTGATTTTCTGTTTCAAGAAGGAACATGCACATGCAGCTGGTATATATCATATTTTCAATTCATTTGGCCCACGAGTTAACTTTTAAAGACTACAGCAGAATTATAGTTAATAGGATATAGGCTACATATTTTTCTCTCCTGAATTAGCCCTTTTTGATAAGATATGTATTGTGCTGAAGAAGGCCTAGCCTATATTATTTTGTACACTTTAGCAAGAAGGTCGTACCCGGAATTTACTGTTATACGTGGTATATGCTGTAAATAGGCCTACAAATATCAAGAAATAGGTGTGTCATGTAGTCCTAAGTGTTGTAGCGTCGTATAACCACTAGATGCTGCTAAATTAAAAGAAATGAAATTCTCTTGATAACATTTTTAGACGCTTTTTTTTAGATATCCTGCTAGCTAGACTGAGGTTGGTTGCCACAATTTTTAATCTTTGAAGAATATCTAGCTCCCCGGGCGCCGCAGCAATTGGCTGCCCACTGCTCCGGGTGTGTGTTCACGGTGTGTGTGTGTGTGTTCACTACTCACTGTTGTGTGGGTGTGAGAGTGTGTCTGTGTGTGTGTATGTGTGGGTGTGTTCTCTACTCACTGCTGTGTGTGTGTGTGTGTGTGTGCGGGTGTGTTCACTACTCACTGCTGTGTGGGTGGGGGGGGGGGGGGGGGTGTGTGTGTGTGAGTGTGTTCACTACTCACTGCTGTGTGGGTGGGGGGGGGGGGGGGGGTGTGTGTGTGTGAGTGTGTTCACTACTCACTGCTGTGTGGGTGGGGGGGGGGGGGGGGGTGTGTGTGTGTGAGTGTGTTCACTACTCACTGCTGTGTGGGTGGGGGGGGGGGGGGGGGTGTGTGTGTGTGAGTGTGTTCACTACTCACTGCTGTGTGGGTGGGGGGGGGGGGGGGGGTGTGTGTGTGTGAGTGTGTTCACTACTCACTGCTGTGTGGGTGGGGGGGGGGGGGGGGGTGTGTGTGTGTGAGTGTGTTCACTACTCACTGCTGTGTGGGTGGGGGGGGGGGGGGGGGTGTGTGTGTGTGAGTGTGTTCACTACTCACTGCTGTGTGGGTGGGGGGGGGGGGGGGGGTGTGTGTGTGTGAGTGTGTTCACTACTCACTGCTGTGTGGGTGGGGGGGGGGGGGGGGGTGTGTGTGTGTGAGTGTGTTCACTACTCACTGCTGTGTGGGTGGGGGGGGGGGGGGGGGTGTGTGTGTGTGAGTGTGTTCACTACTCACTGCTGTGTGGGTGGGGGGGGGGGGGGGGGTGTGTGTGTGTGAGTGTGTTCACTACTCACTGCTGTGTGGGTGGGGGGGGGGGGGGGGGTGTGTGTGTGTGAGTGTGTTCACTACTCACTGCTGTGTGGGTGGGGGGGGGGGGGGGGGTGTGTGTGTGTGAGTGTGTTCACTACTCACTGCTGTGTGGGTGGGGGGGGGGGGGGGGGTGTGTGTGTGTGAGTGTGTTCACTACTCACTGCTGTGTGGGTGGGGGGGGGGGGGGGGGTGTGTGTGTGTGAGTGTGTTCACTACTCACTGCTGTGTGGGTGGGGGGGGGGGGGGGGGTGTGTGTGTGTGAGTGTGTTCACTACTCACTGCTGTGTGGGTGGGGGGGGGGGGGGGGGTGTGTGTGTGTGAGTGTGTTCACTACTCACTGCTGTGTGGGTGGGGGGGGGGGGGGGGGTGTGTGTGTGTGAGTGTGTTCACTACTCACTGCTGTGTGGGTGGGGGGGGGGGGGGGGGTGTGTGTGTGTGAGTGTGTTCACTACTCACTGCTGTGTGGGTGGGGGGGGGGGGGGGGGTGTGTGTGTGTGAGTGTGTTCACTACTCACTGCTGTGTGGGTGGGGGGGGGGGGGGGGGTGTGTGTGTGTGAGTGTGTTCACTACTCACTGCTGTGTGGGTGGGGGGGGGGGGGGGGGTGTGTGTGTGTGAGTGTGTTCACTACTCACTGCTGTGTGGGTGGGGGGGGGGGGGGGGGTGTGTGTGTGTGAGTGTGTTCACTACTCACTGCTGTGTGTGTGCACTTGGATAGGTTAAATGCAGAGCACAAATTCCGAGTATGGGTCACCATATTTGACCACTTCACTTTCTTTTTCAAATACAAAGAGAATAGAAGTGAGATCTTGTAAGTCAGAAGTCAAGAAAGGAATAACGTACAATAGCATCATTCTAAGTTTAGCATTTGCCTATGATTACTAGGTCACAAGTGATAACATAAAATGCATCTGCAAAATCATAAAATCTGCTTAAAGACATATTTCACCCAAAAATGAACATTTTGTCATCTTTTACTCACCCTCAAGTTGAATTATGAAATGAAAGTATGAATTTCTTTCTTCTGTTGAACACAAAAGAAGATATTTTGAAGAATGTTGGTAAACAGTTGCCGGTAGCCATTGACTTCCAGTATAAAAAAAATACTATGGAAGCCAATGGCTACCATCAACTATTTGGTTTATAAGTAAATTATGATTAAAAAAAATCTTTTTTGGGTGAACTATCCATTTAACTTCAAAATGGAACAAAGTTAAAGATAGATATGGTCAAGTGTGAAGGGGTTTATTACTATTATTATTATTGAGGATAACACAAGACCCCTTGCTGTGTTTCAGTTCTCGAAAAAAATCACATGTAAGTAAATAACACCGTGTTAAGGTGAAACAGACTTTTACATCTGCACACACACACACACACACACACACAAACCTTATGTGTAACTTTTTGTCACTTAACATTTTTCGAAGTGACTATTTTATTGTACTTTATTATACTTTTTTAAAAAACTTTTAGTTACATTTTGTTGTTTCATCATTAATTATTTAGTTTTGTAATTGTTTTACTGTTAAGAGTTTGCTAAAAGTATGCTATTTAATGCTAAATATAATGTAAGAAAAAAGTCAAATGAATCAACCCTGAGAAATATTCACTGTAGTAAACCGTGTGAATCAGAATAACTGTTTTGAAGGGCGGGAGCTAATGATTTTCCTCCAGTCAGTGCGTTTAAGCGCGGGGAGGAGCCTTTGGCAGTCTCCGCTTTGGGCTCGAGTTGATTTCTATAGTATATAGAACTGACGCTGCTGCTTCGCTTACAGGTCTGCGCAGAGACGCATGTTTTGCACGCTCAAGCGCAGGCAGCGGAGAGCGCTGGAATGAGATTCATGGGCGGTGGACGTAGAAAATGACCTTTTGTGATAACGACGAGGGCTTGGAATTGTCGTGCTCATCGCCAGAGTCAATCTCTTTTTACTACACTCTATTTATGCTGATTTAAGAAGTCTCCGTCGCTCGCGCAGTTTGGATTTTCTTTCCAGAATGGACCGCGTCAAGAGTTCAATGCAGCAAGTCCCCAACCCGATTCCCAAAGTGCTCAGCCGTCGCACTGGCGGTGCCAACAGTTTGGAAGTTGAAAAGGAAAACTTCGAGCGTAGTCAGGTAACGTTAAGGAACTGTAGACACCACAGGGCAAGTTTTTTCATGCAGCCAGTGCCTCACCAACGAGCTCATTGTATGGCAAGCCCGGTTTTAGGCTATTTCAACAGTGACTAGACTAGTCGTTAGATACTAGCCTAGTACTTGTTCCTTTGCTACTAGTAGTAAAGTTAACATTTTACAATTAGCTAACATTTCTTATATCAGTAGTCACAACTGCATTTTAGTAGTTTATAGTTCAATTAAAATCTTACAAGTTAGCTATTTTACTAATTCATGTTAAAATATATTATAACGTGTCCAATCAGGCTACTAATAGGAAGTAGCCTATACTACTAGGAAATAGGTATCAGAAACAATTGGAATACAAACCTGTTGAAAGTGAATAATTGAAATCTCACTCACATACCTTGATTGAATTCAATTAGAAAATGTGCCATTTGTTACGAGTATAAACTGAATAAGGACTAGTATAGGAGTTTTTATTAGCGAGTGACTACTAATATACTACACTCTAAAAAAATGCTGGGTTAAATACAACCCAGTGCTGGGTAAAATAGGGACAAACCCAGCAACTGGGCTGTTTTGACCCAGCGGTTTGGTTAAATGTTTAACCCAACCTTCTGGATAGTAACCCAACCGCTGGGCCAAAACAACCCAATTGCTGGGTTTGTCCCTATTTTACCCAGCACTGGGTTGTATTTAACCCAGCATTTTTTAGAGTGTAGTAGCTACATAATTGTCAATTTTGGAATAAGTACTGTAACAAAAAGATTTTTCAAAATTTGTAAATAAAACACATTGGATTATGTTTTACAGGAAAATGGGAAAAATATATATTCTTTCTGCTTCAAAATGTTATGTTTAATTCAGTGTGTTACTTGGCATTTCTTTGTAATTATTTGTGAAATTAAGTAGCAATTTCTGAGTAAAAATGTTTTTAAAGTAAATCCTACACCTTTTTTTTAGTGTAATGTTATCTAATAAATACTGATGAAATTGAAAAAGTTACTAGTCACTAGTGGACTGTTACTTCTAATTTTGTATTTTAAACTAAATATTAGCAACACAAAATTATTAAAGGAATACATGTTAAACAGTTTGCCAACTATGGAACGAAGTAGGTAGACAAAGACCATTATTTGTTTTTAATTTAATCTATTAGTAAAATGTGAAGCTATTGGAAGTGTTTTCTCACTTTGAGTTCAAAAATCAGAGCTTATCCCATAGTGCTTTCCTGATAGGGTGCACAATTTTTGCCATCAAATTTCCTTAAGATCTGCACTTCGTTTGGTGCATGAAGCACCTACTAATGTGTGTTTTCGAAACCATAAAATGATTTTTTATTTGCACCGTAAAAGCTGTCATGTTTACAGTACAATAATTGAATGCCTGTTAAATTCAGCTTTCAGTTCAGTGAACCTTTAACCATATCACACCTTTATTTTATCAGTCCACAGTCTAGTGTCATCGATTCAGGACGGGAGCAAAGTTCTACCTGGTACTCTCTCAGCATAGGTTAATATTGATAGTGGTTTTCAAAAGTGCTATGAAGAGTTCAATTACATGCTGACATTTTTCATAATATGACATTAATGTGCATTATGAAACGTTTTAACTCATTAATACAAGACTGTTTCCTAACCAGAAGGAACCTGTGTTTCCAAACTGATGGCCATGTATCGAGCAGATCTAAAAGCTCAGAGATGCAACACTAAAACCAGTGGACTGAGTTTGATGGTCATGCATTCTGATTCTTGGTGTATTTCCATGTGTCTTCAGTCTTTTAGAGAAGAATAATATCTTGTTTATTGTGACCTTTTTAAAGTGCACATGCATTGAATTATGCAGTCAGTATCTGGGTGCTTGAGAAATACATTCTCATTGTTCATGCACAGATCTTCTCACTTCTCTGGGGGTCTTTCCCCTCCCCATCCAGACACAGCCATCAGGAAAAGTAGGTCACATGAATGAAGCTGCAGCCTACTGCCCTACTGCTGGGTTTCATAGTGTTTGAAAACAGCATGACCTCGTTCTTGCCGAGATTTCTTGAGGTAGACATTGTGGCGGCAACTAAAATTCTCTTAATTTCTGGATTGATAGCAATGTCAGCAATCTGCAGCATCATGTTTGACTCAAGTGTGCAATATTCAGTCCTCCTGTTTACAACTAGGACAGTGACATGGATTAGCGAGACTCACGTGACGCATGCGCTCTTGAACTCCTTTAGGACCTATCACTGGGTCAGACTCAAACGCGAGTCTTCCTGTTTTTAGAATTGATTTGATCAATTAGGTTTTTAATTTAACCAAAAACACTGAGTGCTAAAGTTTAACTATAAAGCCTCAAATGAATGTTCACATCTAAAAAATAACACTTCAAACAGCACAAACTGATCAGGTCTCAGAAGGAAATGCTATTGTGAGCAGTCCTTATCAGCTAGTTTGCCTGGAGGAAGTCTGATCCCATAATATCCTGTCTCTTTTCTGTCCTTGGAATGCTATGTTTCGATTAATAGGCCTTCTGTGGTGTGAGTTCAGTCTGTTTTAAATGAGAGGATGTTAGTGTGGTGCTCTGTAATGACATGAGCATGGTTTGCCTTGTGGCTGGGCGTTAGAAGACTAGTGTCTACTTAACTTGAGTTTTATATGGAGGAAATCTAAGCAGGGAAGCTTTGTTGTGGTCAGAGTCTAGCAGAGGGACATCTGACCAGCCTCGGAATTCACACAGATGAAATAACATGTTAAGCAAGTGTTGCCAGAATAAGTCATCTGCAAATCAGTCTGAAGCACTGTAAACATCCCGCAGAACGTTTCGTATCAGGCAAAGTTCAAGATAGTCAATAAGAAAGTAAAACTGGCCCCATTTAGTTTGTTCACTGGTGCATGTTTTTCCAAATAAAATCATTCAATCAAAATATAGTAATTTGCTTTCCTTTGTTTACACAGGTTTGCCTCCATTTTTGAATGTAACATTCAGGTTTCCCCCCCCCCCCCATCCAAATGAAAGCTTGATGGTTTAATATTAGTGCCCGGGGAGCAGTTGGGGTTTTGGTGCCTTGCTCAAGGGTCTCACCTCAGTCGTGGTATTGAGGGTGGAAGAGAGCGCTGGCCATTCACTCCCCCCGCCTAATCCCTGCCTGTATCGAGACTCGAACCGTGACTCGTAGTGCTCATCTATGTCAAAATGGTTGAGATGACCAGTCAAATCAATGTAGGCAGGCTTTACTGTTCACAGAGGCTGCTGAGAACAAATTTCAGTGCAACACTTGACACTCATAAAGTGCGAGATAAGATTTAATTAGCTAATCTAAATTTTTTCCCCAAACCGTGGAGCGCTAAACTAATTAATTCACATTTCTCATCTTACATTTTTAAAAGCCAAATACGAAATAACCTGTTTCACTTGGAAATATATCACATCAGCAAAGTCAAATGAGTTGTGAAAAAAAGTTTCACGTTGACTCTAAGGCGGCCATCTTCATTTGCATTTTTTCAGGTCTCAAATTTTTCATTACTTTAAAGGATTAGTTCACCAAATAAAAATTTGCTGAAAATCAACTCGCCCATAGGCCATCCAAGATGTAGATGAGTTTGTTTCTTCTTCGGAACTGATTTGGATAAATTTAGCATTACATCACTTGCTCACCAGTGGATCCTCTGCAGTGAATGGGTGCCACATAACTCCAGTCCATTAATTAACGTCTTGTGAAGCAAAAAGTTGCGTGTTTGTAAGAAACAAATCCATCATTACGGTGCTTCTGTCATCCGTAATAACACTTCCTCTAGTGAAAAAGTCCATCCACTGTTGTTCTCTCACATAAAAGTCAACTGACATATTAGCTTAAAACGGTTTTAGACTGTTTTCACTGGTAAACAGTGCTTATTTCTCTCCTGAATCAGACTAGATGACTTTTACTGAGAAAGCAATATTGTGGATAGACAACATATTTTAACCGGAAGCAATGGTTTGAAGTTAAAAACCCCTTAATGATTTTTGTTTCTTACAAACATGCAGCTTTTCACTTCACAAGATGTTAATTGATAGACTGGAGTCGTGTGGATTACTTGTGGATTATTGTGATGTTTTTATCAGCTGTTTGGACTCTCATTCTGACGGCACCCATTCACTGCAGAGGATCCATTGGCGAGCAAGTGATGTAATTCTACATTTCTCCAAATTTGTTCAGATGAACAAACAAACTCGTTTAGATCTTGGATGACCTGAAGGTGAGTAAATGATAAGATAATTTAATTTTTTTTGAGTGAACTAGCCTATTCCTTTTATGCTAATTTAGGTCAGTCACTGTTCGTCCCATTATATCTCCTCTTCCTTCTCTTGTTATATCAAACTACCCTACTTTAAAGCAGTTAAGTTTATGACCCTGCATCTTTTGTGCTTGTGTTCCTTCCTGTGCTGGTACCGTGCCCATGGAGGAATTTTTGGGAGGGGCCTAATCTTGCCTCTCTCTGTTTTTCCAGGACTCTCCCACATAGAGCCAGACAATCTTGTAATCTCGCCTCCCTCTAAGCAGCCAATCTCCACTTTCAGCATGCCACTTTCTCTATCTACAGTAGTTTCAATATCCTACCAGCTTTTTTTTGCGGTCCAGAGGGCGAGGAGGGTTTGTTGGGGTCATTGAGAGCAGGAGGGCATGTATGAAAAGCCCTGAGGCAGCAGAACACACGGGCCCTGGCCTGTGGCCTCTGTTCGCTCGCTGTGGATTAAAAATCCTATGCAGTTTGGCGGGCCGCCAGATGTCTGTGCCAGAAACAGTGTTCGGGTCATACTGCTATCAAACAGACCATTAATGCATTACTGCAGGGAATGTGGTCATATTAGATGCAGATTGTTGGTTATTATTCTAGTTTTGTGAGATTTCTTTTTTTTTTCACATAGCCTAACATTAAATATGACCGCTTTATGATGAACTCCTTAGTATAAAGGCAAATATGTATTTTAATGTATTCAGGCCCATTTATACTGTATGAGAAAAATAGTAA